TGCTTTAATGTTCCAAAAGCTCTTTACTTTCTCATACTGCCTGTGCTGCAGCACCTCTTTTCACCCTCTGTCTGAAACCAGAGCCCAGTCTGCTCTGATTGGTTAGCTGGCCGGCTCTGTTGTGATTGGTCAACCGCTTAGAGATGTCCTAACGTTAGCCTATTACAAACAATGCATTGGAGAGCTAGTCAATAGGAGTGTTACACAGTGATATTACTTTTGTTGAGGAAGTAAACAAAGGAGTCCAATGGACGTGTTTCATATGGGGGGGGGAGGGTGAGGGAACACAGGGATTTTATCCTTTGCAGACCATTTACATGCACTAAAACCTATATAACACACTACAGGAAAGGGAAACCCCCCCCAAAAGCAGAATAGCGACACTTTCAATAGTAAGATTGAACATTTTTTTTTTGAAAACCTGCCAACAATCATTATACCTTTTTAATCGTTCAGACACACTTTGAATAATTTCCAAACTTAAACTGATGATGTTCCCAGTGACTCAGCGCTTTTACAGACACTCAATCCTGTCTTTCAGTAAACAGCTTGTTAACAAAGGAAAGCAGCAGAACACTTAATGACCTTTCAGACAGTCGTCCTCGCTCCCTGTTGCATCATGGGGGATTACAATGTGTATTCTAGTGATGAATCACATTTTTTTCCCTTTGCTTGCAGACCTTGAATCTGGCGTACAGCAGCATCTTCAGCACTTACAGGAACTTTGTGGGCCCCCCCCACATTAAGGTGATGTGCAGGCTGCTGGGCTACCAGGGCATCGCCGTGGTGATGGAGGAGCTGCTGAAGGTGGTGAAGAGCCTGGTGAGTGAAACAGGAAGTGTGGGAGGAAAGATTTTCAATCTCAGAGATGCACCGGTTTTTATTTTCTCGGCCAATTTGAATTTATTTTCACACACATTTGGACTACCTATGTTGTAAATGTATTATCTTTTTAATTTACACACTATGTCTATTGCACGTCTGTCCGTCCTGAGAGAGGGATCCTCCTCTGTCGCTCTCCCCGAGGTTTCTTACTTTTTCCCCCGTTAACTGTGGGATGTTTCTTTGTCTGATGTGTGGGTCCAAAGGCAGAGTGGGTCATATTTATATTCTGTACAAACTGTAAAGACAAATGTACAATGTGTGATTATATAAATACACTTTAATGTATTGATTATTATTATTGAGTCTCCCTAACCTCCTGATCTAAAAGTTTCCTCAGATAAAAAAAGTGAAACACAGGGATAAAAAGGATTAGCCAGAATAACAAATGTTATTTGCTCCATGTTATAATAACAAACAAAGTTTATTGAAGGGCTCTCTAACCTCCATCGTGGCCAAAGCCCTTTTTTTAAATTATGTTTTCCCCTAACTGAGTGTTTAAACCTCCTGATACAAAGTGTCCTCAGGTCAAAGAAACATACTTTTATCTGTTAATATTAAGTCCACGATATTCTGTGTAAAACAATAACAGACACATGAAATATTGAATGAAATTACTTTTTTTCTGAATTCCTTAAATAAAAAAATATGTGTGATAAACGGTTCTTCGAGAAATAAAGAAAATGTCATCTTCAAAATATGCGAAATAAAAGTTTATCTTAATATAAAGTCCAAGTAATTTTGTGTAAAAACAAAAAAATTACCAATAATAGTCACACATCAAATTTAAACATGGCAAAATAATCAAATGAAATAAAAGCCTCTATTTTCTTGTCCTGGTCAGATGTATTCAAAGGCTCTGAGAGTGCAGACCTAGCCCAGATGCATTTATTTGAAGTATGCTGCTGAACCCTGTCTTTCTCCATCACAGCTGCAGGGCACCATCATGCAGTATGTGAAGACTCTGATGGAGGTGATGCCCAAGATCTGCAGACTCCCCCGCCACGAGTACGGATCCCCAGGTAGGCAGTCTTACTTTTTACCTCGAGCTAAGGTGCTGTTTACACGGGAACGAAACGGGTTGTATCCGCTGCTTTTCTCTTTCGTATAGCCCGTTCGTTCACACGAGGCCGCAACGGAACCGCGGAAACGGACCGTTAAAACGATAACTGGTCCCAAGGTGGATAGATCTGCGGACGGAACGCTCTGGGGGGCAAACGGCTCCGTGTGTACGTCCTATACGATAATTTTCCTGATAACGATGAAGCCATAGCTCCGCCTCTCCCGCTCACTAGGGCTGTAACGATACACTAATCTCACGATACGATACGATACACGATATTGAGCTCACGATACGATATATATCACGATATTCAGCCAACGATACGATTCGATACGATTCGATATAATTCGATACACTTACATCATTTTCTGAAAGATTTTAAAGGGACAGTGTGATTTTGGTGACATCTTGTGAGTGTTCCATTGACTTGGATTGAATTAATTCAACTGAAAACTNTGCTGCTACTGCTACTGACCATGCTACAGATGTTAGTGCAAAACCTACAGCTCCTCTACCACAACCATCAGCAACAAGTGGACATGGAGAACTACATGAACTACATGTTGCTAATTCCACCACGGAGAATAAACAGAAAGGCAACCATGGGAACCATGCTCGGGGGGTCTTCTTCGCTGCTTTTGGTGTATTTTGTGGCGGAAGTACAGCGCCACTTACAGGCCCGGCAGCGTCTATCGTTTTTCCAACCCAGTTTAGATCCCACTTCCGCATTACGCAAGCATCGACGCGACGTTACGTCACAGCATCAACCTGGCTTTACATCCCTATGGTTACATCACTGCCTCACGCGGCACACCCGCGAAATCTGAATCTGACAAGCGAAATACCTTCCTTTTAAACGCCGCATAATATACAATATAATAGTGCTTCTTTGTCAATATGACTGACGACCACACTTATGCAGTGCTGAGGTAATGTTGATTCATCATTTAATATGAATTCCTGATGGATATAAGAGGGATACATTAGCAAACATCTGTATATATCTAGGTATCATTAAATAATGCTGTCAGATAAATGAAGTACACAGTAAAGTCAAGGTTATATTCAATATTCTGCACTTACACCAGCTGATAAGATATTTCAAACGTCTTTTTGTCCCGAAAACGACATTTGAGGATACACACAGGCTATTTATAGAATACAATCTCAGGACTCTTCGATATGGCTTTGATTACAGGATCGTTTACTTTCAGTCAACAAATCCTTTGGAAAGACAAAAAACAACTATTCAATATCCTGCTTTAACGCGACCGCTGCCGAAGATGAAGTCTATGACGCTATCGCGTAGAGCTACGTCGATCCTTGCGTAATGCGGAAGTGGGCGTGGTTAAATCTAAACTGGGTTGGAAAAACGATAGACGCGGCCCGGCATATGTACTACAGCGTCTCCAGCGGGTCGAGCGGTCTCGTGTGGAGGGACACGTTTATTGAGCCGTATCCGTGTGAACGGAATACTTTTTTGATATCGAATTCGGTTCGTTTGCATTTGCGGTCCCGTGTAAATGGGGTCTTTATCATCACCTCCATACACTGAAATACACCGCCTGCTGTGACACAGTGTTGGTGTGAGGCAGTGTAGAAGCACTCACAGTCCCCTAGTGGTCATTAGGAGAACTCACTTATTACTGACCTGCATTTTTGTTTTGCTGTCTGTCAGTTGGAGTAAAACTGACAAGTGCACTCTCAAGAAAACTATGAAGTATATATTAAGTCTTGCACAGTAAACTGAAACATATCAAAGTCAACTTGAATCCAAAAACTCCACAAAATATTTGTATTTGTGTCACTGATTCTTGGAGCTATTCATTGATTTATGTTATTTAATAGTTAAACATTTATTTTATTGCTGTTTTAGCTTGGAGTGTATTATTATTTACTGTCATTATTTATGGCTTTGATGTACTCAAAACCCAAAGATAACTAATTACAAAGGAAAAAGAATGGAGAAAAACAGCAAATATTCACATGTGAGAGTCTGGAGCCGGTGTTTGTGTGACAGTGTTGCTGGCTGAATGAACTTACATGATTTATTCAAAGCGTGAGAGTATTGCTTGAAAGCTCCTGACTTTAGTTGTAGCAGACTCTTCCTCACCGTGAAGAAGAGGATGACTGTGGTTTGTCTCACCTGCATCAGCGGCAGGTGTGTTCTCCTCCTTCTCTTCTTCCCTCTCCTCTTCCTGCTCCATCTGTGTCTCTTCCTCCTCCTGTCCGTGTGTCTGTCCGTTCTGCTTCATGTCCTCTTTCTCTTCGTCCCCTTCTACAGCTGCCTCTTCCTCCTCCTCCTCCGCCTCCTCCACCTCCTTGGTCTCTGCTCCTCTCTCTCCATCCTTCTCTCCCTCCCCCTCGCTGCTGCCGTCGCTCTCTGCGCTGAAGCCCTCGTCCAGGGCCAGTTTCAGGGGGTTGGACCTCCTCTTTGGGGGGGGCAGCTCTGCGTCCTGCTCCTGCTCGGCCTCCTCTAGACGACGCTTCCTGGCTATGGGACATCCCAGAATGCTAGATGAAGACAGAGAGGGGAGGAGGGATCATAAATGGTGACATCACAGACACACCTGCACTGAAAAAACTGAAACGTTGACTTTCATTAAATGTATTATGTCAACAAATTCCACATAACTGCATTAGATTAGTTGAAAGCAATAATATTAAGTTGAACCTAATATTTTTTGGGAAATCATGGGAAATTTGTAGACATAATTCATTTAATTAAATTCAACATTTCCGTTTTTTCAGTGCATGTTGTAGGCAAGCATTACTATGCTGTTATGGAAGGCTGATTCCTACAGGTTCTCACAGGGTTGATCTACAGTCTTTGAGCAGATGAACTAGCTGAGCAGCTTTGACTTTAAAGTATAGTCGACAAACACTTGTACCGTGTAGTATTGCAGCACTCAAAATAACAGAGGAAAAAATACAAGAAGAATTTGTGAGTGACTATAAGCAGCATGATGGAGCGAGTTTGTGTGTTTTGACATGAAGAAGGATGGAGTGGTTGGAGTCAACACCTGGGGGGGAGGGGCATGCATGCTCACTCGGAAATCAAACCACTCTCCACCCTCAGCCAATTGACTGGAAGGTTTAATGAACAACTTGTATGGAGAGGCGGGCGGGCGGGCAAGGCAGCGGAGGGTGAAATCCAATAAACTCCCTCTCACTCTCACCTGGGAGATGCCGGGGGAGATTGAGGGACGATCTATAAACAAAGTGCATCTGAAATTGCCGGCTGAACGAATACACATGTAAACAGATAACTAATATCTGCCCCTCAATAAAGAGCAGTCACAAGCCAGCGAGCAGCCCCCAGTCTGCGTGGTCTCTGAGGGCGGTGGGTGCAGGCGGGGCGGGGGAGAGGATTTAACTCCAATGAAAAACCTGGAGAAATCAAATTTTCTGCAGAAAATTATGACTTAGGTTCAGATTAAGAGGCTCTGAGAGTTTCTGTTATCTCAAAAAGAGCTATTCTCTAATAGTCCAATCTCAAGATCTAAAGATGTTGATGTTTAACCTTTCTTAAGGATTATTTCTCGCTCAAGAAGCTATAACAATTCCAATAAGGAATTTTGAACGTCAATCCAAACCATTAGTCACCCCAAATGTGAGGTATCGTAATGAAATGACCAGAAAAATAAAGCAGAACAAATGATTTCTGTCAAACAAAGTCGGGTTATTTATTTTAAGATTGCCCGTTTCTAATTTAATAGTTAAAAAATTACTATTTTGTTGATTCAAAACTGCTTTTTATGACAGGCTCTGCTTTGCTTGCTCTCTGCTAGATCCTTGTTGTTCTAAAGTAGAAACCACCCCTCTCTATGCTAACCGGCTGTAGCTTCATTACTAGCACACAGGAGGAGTAGGATTGATTAGAGTAGTATTGATCTCAACAAGAAAATGTGTTTTTTTAAACATAATATCGAATCACATGGTATTTTCCACAAAGCAGATTGATGCTGCGGGACGAGGAGGACAGACAGACAGAGAAGAAGGACAGACAGTGGGTGGCTTTTTAATCTGCCCTACCTTCTGTGTCGTGAGTATCTCCCACTGATATGGCCAGTGCCATTGCATCCAGGGGTGGGGCAGCTGGATGGGATGGATGGAGGTTAGAGATTATGTTTAAAGACACTGTGCATTTTAGTCCCTGAGCAGCAGCAGTGATAACCACAGGCAATAAACAAAGCAAATTAAGATAAACAAAGCAAAGACATGCAACACATATCACACAAATGCACATGCACAAAGATACCCATCCAGCAGACACACATAATGCATGAATGCAGGTGGCATCAAGCCGGAGAACATAATGTCGTACATCAACCCTGGCCTATATCCTGTTACTATGAGCGATAAGGATCAGCCGCGAGCCGCTGTAATTTCCCCTGCTCGGCTCTGCTCTCCAGTCATCGTCATCATCATCATCATCATCATCATCAGCATCATCATCAGCACCCCCCGCTCCTCTCAGGCAGGTTGCTATGACCCCTCAGGACGGCTCATTTCAATTCTCATTAACTTCCCTCAGCAATTGCCCTTTATTACTCCAATTATCCTTATTATTAATTTCACTTATAAAAAAACGCTGCATTTGCATTTTAAATCAGGCGCTCTGGCCTCCCTACTGTTTTTTTTTTCTTTTGACGAAAGCCTTTTTTTTCCTGGAGTGCTGAGCTCAGATCGATACTCAGAGGTGAAGTGAGACAAAATGAGGGAGGATGAAAATATGGTTTGGGAGGGGAGAGAAAGGAGCACAATGGGCTTCATGGCCCTGAAAGCTCCCGTCTGGTGGGGAGGGAAGAGGAGAAGCATCCTCTCTCCCCTGCACGCTGGATCCCTCCATTGAGAAAGATCAGACCCCTTTCAATGCTGCTACTGTATGTGTTCATAGCAGGAAACGGCAAAAAGCTGTGAGAAATCAATAGCAGCCTGTTGGAGGGACTGACCATGAGCATAGATGCACCGATAGTAAGTCTACAAGCGCCGGGGGGTGCACATAAAATAACTTTATGAAATGAATTTGCACAAAGATGAAGGTGTTTTCTTACCTCGGCTCTTGTCCTACAAGCTCAATAGGAACTGGGAAAGGGGGAGAAAAATAGGGGGGGAGGAGAAGAAAGGAACAGGGAGGGAGAACAAAGGTGAACGACTGCTCAGAAAGCTGCGCTGCTAAAAGAACCTCAGATCAATAAATCACAAATGCATACGAATCCCATGAGGCTTCCTCATAGAGCTTACACAATGCTGAGTGCATGATCAGTAGGAGTACACACACACACACACACACACACACACACACACACACACACACACACACACACACACACACACACACACACACACACACACACACACATCTACATGCAAGTACACACAAACACATGTTCACAAAGGTGAGTGGAAAACAAACACACACACACACACACACACACACACACACACACACACACACACACATATATATATATACACACACACACACACACACACACACACTGAAGAGAAAACCTAGATCAGCCAATTTCAATTGTGCAGTTCCGGAAAAAAAGTGACAATGAAATGCAGACTTCAGCAATAAAAAAGTGATTAATTGTTGCACCTTTAGTTATTATAATTGGCAAAAGAGATTAGAAAAGGAAAACAGCTCTTCTTTCTGCGACAACTTATAGTAATTGCCTAAAACATAAATCATGCTCAGCTCTAAAACAAAACACACACACACACACACACACACACTGCTCTGAGCTGGTTATGGCCATCGATTGGAAGTTGAGCAATAGAATGAGTTTGGAGAAAGATCCTATTTTCATTTGGAGCAAAGGAGAAAACAATATGATGCTGGAGAATTCAGTTCGGGCTCTGATATCACATGCATTAATCACATGTCAGGAAGAGCGCCGCACTGAAGACACACACACTCACACACACACTATGGTGATGAGTGTGTGTGCAGCATCTCAGTTTCTCAGTCTTTCATCATGCAGCTGCAGCGGCTGGACGCCTTCCTGCGCTCTGAACGCTCTGTGAACTGTTCCTCTCAACACCAACTCACACTCACACATGCAGGAAGACACACTAACATGCACATACATACAAACACACATGGTGACCTGCACTCTTCTTTACTTGTTGTAGTTGCTGATGTGAGAGAAACTGTATTGAACTTTAAGTTTGTGACTAGGCGATGGTGACTCAGGGGGAAATGGACATCCACCAACCAGAGGGTCAGTGGTGACCTCTACAGTGATTATTAGTCCGTGTGTAATGTGGATCTCATAACAGAGTATTATGGCTGTAACAACAGTGTGACATGGGTGTAATAATGGAATAATATGGATGTAATTACGGTGTAATTACGGTGTAATAGGGACATATTAATGTTTAATATAGGTGTAATTACAATGAAATATGGGTGTAATATTGGTGTTGAATGGGTGTAATAACAGTGTAACATTGGTATAATATTGGTGTAACAATGGTGTAAAATGGGTGTAATAACCACGTAATATTGGTTTTATGTAGAAAATACCAATCAATTAATGTTACATAATATTTATATGTGATTGTCCATTTAAGGGTTAAACTTTAAGCACTTTGAGCAGACTTGTTGGAGAGAAATGCCACTCACCTCTGATTCCTTTGGACCGAGTGCGGGTTCGCTTGTCGTCCCCTTCTACACTCATCTGCAGAGGGAGAGGAAGAGGAGGAGGAGGAGGAGAGCGATAGAAGGAGAGGACAAACAAGGAAGAGAGAGGCCATCAGTGATAATTTCTCAATGCTCAATTCCCCCCCCCCCTGACTCTCGTCTGCGTGGTTCGCTTCTCCCACCGGCCCCAGGTGTGTGTGTGTTGTGTGTGTGTGTGTGTGTTGTGTGTGTGGTGTGTGTGTGTGTGTGTGTGTTGTGTGTGTTGTGTTGTGTGTGTGTGTGTGTGTGTGGTGTGGTGTGTGTGTGTGTGTGTGTGACGGGTAGAAGAATTTTCCCAATAATGTAACAGAAAATATCGTGCGGACACCACAAAAACGAAATAATGAAATATAAGACCAGCCCCCGGACACCGGGGGACATTTGTCTCCCGGACGGACAGGCAAGCCGTGTCACATGGTTAGTACACATGGTAAGTCGCACGTCCTTTAATGTCCCTCTCACTACCCTCCACCACACTCCCGCTCCTCCTCTTCACAAGCGTGTTGTCGGCAAAACAAAATGGAAAGGAATGGCAAATAAGGGACAGAGAGGAGGGCCACCTCACACCACCCCCACGGAACCCACACACCCTCTATTGACGCCCACTTCCCCCTCGCTACAAAGACCGCTCCTAACTTCGATATAGCAGAGAGTCGTAAGTGGAAACCACACAAAGTCTCCCTTGTGTCCTCACTTCCCAATAATATGTCAGGGGAAAACTTCGGGGTCCCTCCTGTGTAATAGCACCACACCACAAACACAC